ATCAAATTATTAAATAACGGATGGATGGATTCTAAATTTCACTCCTTATTCACACACTATCAAAAAGTATTTATTAAATTAAAAACATGAACGTAGCTGTAAACAATCCTACTTTGACAGTTCTAATTTTGTATCACTGCTGCTTGGTTGAAATTAGCAACTGTTGTCATAAATTTATACAATAACAGTGCTGCACCCTGTTGGTACATCTTGTAACCTTTTAATGCTATTGATCATTACATAATCAAATTGTTTAGTTGAAACAGCTGTTATGATTCTTTCATTCCATTTAAATATTAGTAGTCATAAGGTTAACATGGGAAACTCCAGAGCCACCGGGGCAGAGTCCTTTTGACGAATCTGCACCAAACTTCGCCCAAAACCATCCTTGAATAATGCTTAATAATGCCTGAAAGTTTCATTACAATCTGTCGAGCGGTTTCGGAGTCCATAACGTTCAAATATACACATTTCCTCTTTTATTAATATAGAAGATATAATATGTTATTTATAGACTGCAGATGTATATGCAAGATAAGTTGGTTTATATCTTGTAAATGTTGCTATTTGATCACCGGAATGCATATTTTACAGCAAAGGAAAGTGCAAAAGAAAGTGAAGGAATGAAGTATGATCTTTAATACCAATATGGACTATATCAGCTGGTTCTTTAGGAATTTATGAAAGCTCAATGACAGCTGGGACGAGTTGTCAAGCGTCAAAAGCCAACTGACATTGTAAAGATTGATCAGGAGAATTATACAAGCATAATGACCACTAAGCCAGACAGTAATATCATACACCAACAACACAAGTAGACTTCTCATCCCATTGTAAATTTCAAGTTCGTTTTATCGTGTCAAGTTCAAGTCCGGTGACACTGATCGCTAGTGTCGACGAAATTTTGTTTCTATTATTAGTCGTGGTTAACTTAACGATTTGTGCTTTCGTGGTTGTATAGCTAGGTGACGAGTTGTTGTTTATGATTATATAGTTTTATTTGGCTAAACGAGTTTTAAATGACTGAAATAAAAAGAAACAAATTGTAGACAAAAGTCGAGCTCTGCGATGCACCGGACAAAAAAATTGGCTTCAGCTGTTCTACGAGCATGAGAAATCTACTAAGAGAGTTTTATCTATGGCAATATCTAGCCAAAATATGGACTGATGTTCGACGCACGCAAATCCTGACTACAAAACTTTATTTTTCACGGGTGTGATTCAGATAGAGTTTTGGGTATAACCATTGTATAACCTTGGAGAACGTTGCTGTTGGTGATATAACAAGGCATTAATAGGTAGTCACGGTGACTTTCAATAATACAATTAATCTTGTCATCATATTGTTGACTTTTCGGTGTCTTGTGTTTTATGTTGGTGGCATTTGGGTGCGCTGATGCCGATCAATGTTTTAAGATACCACCGCTCTATCATTAGGATGGACAGAAATTATTATTAGAACATAAATTCGTGATTGTACTTAACGATTTTTGTGATATCCATGATAATAAACCATTCTTTAAACTAATTCCGGGGATCCTAATTATTGGTTATTAATTTTGTAGTAAATTATGCTCAATTAGCCTATATTAATCCAATTGTTCTTCACTTTTTCTCTGTACATGGTATTTTGTAATGTTATGATTCTTTGACTAACATATGTTGCGACTCTTGTTTACCTTTTTGTTGTTAGCCTATCTCGCAAATAATGCCATGACAACCAATTAACCTACAAGGCCCATGTTAAATTTCTTAAAAGCTTAAATTCACGTAGAGATCCCTGTGGTCCGATCTGAACCATTTCAGATTCATACCTTCCCATGGTTTGTTACTATACCTGTGTTAAATCTCGTGCAGATCGCTTCAGCCGTTCGAGAGGAGTATTTGTAAAACAAAAGCAGAAGTGTAGTATAAAAGCTTCGCTCCGCTCAAAAATGTCTTAAGCTATTATGGATAACAAATATATGCAAATGGTATGTTTTTCAATCACTTTCTTTACATGTCCTACGACTTAGTAACATTGGCAAAATCGAATCTTAGTGCTAAAACCTAATTTGTCTGCTTTCAGAAAATGCGTGCCATTGAATAGGGAAGTCGTGGGTTGAAAAGATAGTGTTTATCTGCAGTGATTGTTGGCTGTAAACTCTGCGTTATCTACATCATAAATACTTCTTCCTGCGTTGAGATGAACACAATTATTGGAACAAAAATACTGTAAGTCAAAATGGGAATAAATATGAGTTTAGTTAGTTTTAGCACATGGGACAAACCTGTTGACTCCGAAAAGTTGTTATTCCTTTTATTAAGTCGTTTAGACCTACTTATAACTATGTTGATAATATGACGATTAACTAGACTAAATATTTTTCTGGATTTCTTCGTTAAAGTTAATTAATGTAAGCCTCCTAGTTGGTTATTTCTTCAGATTTCAAGCGTTTCAACACCCTTCAATTACGAAATCAAATACATTCTTTGGTATAACTCGAGAAACAATAATTTTTCAAAAGAAAGGTCTTCTTAAGTTGTTACTTATCAATTAGCAATTATCAATCATTGAGATGTGGACCCCCTAGGTGCGTATTTTAACCCAGATATGAGTGAAGGGTGAGTGTAGAATGGTGTATGAAGGTCTATGTATAGCTTTACTGACTAAGATCAGCGGTTTCATTGGTCAGGATCATTTATTTAAAGCCCAATGATCAGGAACAGCTGGGTCCAGTTTCGAACCATCAAAAAGCTACTGACTTTTCTCAGGATCAAGGCGACCTTTTGATTAGTGTAAACTATGCAATATAAATTATATAGCCTAAAAGACCAGATACTGTAACTTAAGTCTGAAAACAAAAAAAAATACATTAAAGTCACCGGTTAGTGCCACATCGAATTATTAAAATATAAAAACAATAATTATTGAATACAGTATCCATTTGACTCCGCAAAACACGTGGACGAAATATCAACCATGTATGACAATTTTACGTCGATGTAGATTATAATTTTATTTTAAGTAAAATCTTCGAAAGTTTATTCAACTTGTAAAATGCAAGACACTTTTGTAACTACAATCTCTTTTCACTTACCAGATGATATCTGGCTTCTGTGAGATTTAACCACTCAATGTACACAGTTATATGATAAGACACCTGACATTATGCAACGTGTTATCTTCAGATAAGAAGGAGAATGGTTTATGGGTTCTCACTGCGTTAAGTTAGTTTTTAGTCTAAAATGTATTTTAATTCTAAATCATGCTTGTCACGATTACGTTTTGTGAGGATATAATTTGGTACAGAAGAGAAAAAGCGTCTATTGCACAATTTGAAGTAGAAATCATCGTTCTTGCTATGTAAACCACCACTGGTACAACCTGGATTGGAGCAGATAATTCCATACCACGTCAACTTTAATGTGATTAGCAGCACGTGATCATCGGTAAATAAACAGATCATTGCTGAGGAAACAGCTGTAATCACATTTAATTTATCCTTCACTGGTCATAGGATCGCGTGCTTGTTCGCAGGTGTGGTTTTAGCGTCGTAGTAATCGAATATAGAATATATCTTTTCCGCTAATGAATGAACGAATAGCTGGTTCAATTACTGTTCTATCAACAATAAATATTATTATCACAAGTATATAATTACTAGCCTAAATAATACTGTGAACTACCCGATGTATCAAACCTTGGAAATGTTCACTAAATCCTTCGTCCAATATTGATAAAGTTGTGTTTTGAGAACCTGCACGTATTTAAGTTTAAATAACAAGGGGTGCAAAGTTTAATGTTTTCTGTTAAATGCCTAATAATGCCCGTCATGAAATAAAGAAGTTGTTCGTAGGCCTATTTATAACAGGTATCAATCCAATAACAAGCGTTTACATTAATTATTTTCTCCATAAAAACATGGAGACAACGTACAGTACTACGTTTAGTAAACAAACTCAGTTATCAATATGCGAAGAAAATAATGTACGATAACATGATTAAAGTTTTAATTTTTCTATAATACGTTAGTAGGCTAATGCTTTTGTCTTGAATAAAAGAAAAGGCTTGTAAATTTTGTTTTTAGAAGCTGAAGTTAACGGTTGGTGGCAATTAATTAGCAAGGCTGTATCCACAACAACTATATTTTATTCTTAAAAGAAATATCCACACATCTACTTTAATGATTTTAACAACATTCAAATGTTTTGTAAAATCTGTTTTCTTAGAAAATATTGCGGCCCCATAAACATTTCGTACTATACTGTAATTCTAGGAATTAAGCTATGCAATAATCAACCTAACCTAGTTTCGCACTTGCTGAATCTATAAAACTTTAAAACACTTGTGCAGTGACAGCAAACTGCAATGCATTGACATTGTTTTGATCGATCGTGCAAGATAAACATAACCTCAAAACCAGCTGACGGAACAAACTCAACCACCTGACTGTAATTGTACAAGGTTTAACAATTACGTTAAGATAGACCAAGAGATACACTTGTCAGCTATGAATTAGTGTTTGTTTATCATTGTGGTAACTAACCTGCAAGGTTAACTATAATTAAGTTAAGTTACTGTAACTTAGGCCTAGTTGATAACATAACTTCAGTATTTTTGTTTCAACGCTAGGCTTTTTTTACTCTACTTGCTTAAATTTCTTACTGGTTGGGTTACTGTATGTAAATAGACATGCTAAGATAAAAATGTAATCAAGGATGTTTACAAATAAATGTTACTTAGAATTGAAAATACTCTGGTGAAATGGAATTTGGGGTAAAACACTTGTACCAAAAGTCTGTGACTTTAACGTTCATTTTTTGCCACAAGTTTGAGCACAGACGAACCAAAAATATACTTCAAATATTTGTATATGCAACATAAAGATTTTACACACCCATCAAAATAGGCTAAAAAATCGATAACGCAGAATATCTGCAGTAGGCGCAAATGCAACCGGCCGGTAAGCGGCGCCAAGGGTACATAACCTCACTTTCTACAAAACACCACCACTTACTTGCGACACATTCTGTAACTCTTCAACACCGGTATTCCGGAGTTGGCTGTAGCTGTTTTAGACCTCGACATGATGTACACAATCACTCACACATCACTATGACACTCCGGCGACATTGGTGTACGCACTGTAAAGTGTTCGCGTCGCGAAGTGTAGATGTGCTGCTGGAAGACGGTCGTCGTCGTCAGTGCGCGTGCGCGAACACATCGACCGGGCTTCATCCGTTGCTATGGCAACCACCTTCCGTAACTCCCTTATCATTGCAACCTGCCTAGCTTACTCTCGTTTGTTTACATCTGAGCTGCCAGGGGTCGCGAGGCTTGCTGGAGGTCGAGTGGATTTTGATAGGGTTGGTTGTGGGAAATATGGGTAAAATTTTGATATATCTAACGTAAGAGGCATTTCATTAAGCCACAAGGCCAGATAACAACAACAGTAAAGATGTGTCAAAATTGGGTGTTACTGATCAGGTTGGCTATAAATTCGTCTTTAGTTTTTGATCCACAACAGCGAGAAATACTAGATTCATACAGTATTACATAGTAACATCACTTGGTAGCTGTGTTTATTTGGAGTTAATCTGAAAATCTAATGTACACCTGTTCGATCCTGAATAAAAGTCAGTAGCTTTTAGATGGCTGACCTTGATCTTTTAATAAGTGGTATTTTTTGTGTCTAGTTACTCCAGTTCATGTTGGTGACACTGATTGCTAGTGTCGATTAAACCTCTCTTCAAGGATGAGAAATCTAGGGAGTGTTTTATCAATGATTCTACTCTAGTTTTCTATTCACAATCAGCTAAAAATACACACCTATGTGACTTATCTATCTATATAAATAAAATTAGAGTTTTGTCTGTACATTAATAAGAATTATATATTTTTAGGTTATTTTTACGTCTTATACATTAAATAAGCAGAAACGAGTCTTATCTCAATTTCTGTCTGTCTGTCTGTCTGTCTGTCTGTCTTTCCCTTTGTCTGTAACACTCAAGATGGCATTTTACGCTATCTTCTCCTGGAAAACGAGAGTACCTATCAAGATCCAAGTCATTTTAATGTATTCACTGGATTGGCGAGATTGTCTTTAGCCATTAAAATATGGCCTCACTACTTTGTAAATAATATTACGAACGTTCAAAAATGTAGTTTTGTGCGATTTATGTCAAGTTTTCGTCCAATTTTTATTGCATAATCATCTATGAAATAACGAACAGCTGTTCGGATCAAGATTATTTTTTCTAGCTGTCACTGATATGTTTACAAATGTTGTTTACAAATACCGCAACCTTTTTCAATCACGTTTTGAATGTAAATCCCAAGTGATTAAAAACGTTTTTCTTACATAACGGATTTAATTAATCGAAAGTGCAATAATATAGTGTAATAGTGTAACCGTGTATATTAAATTAAATAACTAGGCATCATCCAGTTCAGGAACCAGAGATTCTTTGTGTATAAATTGTTCTTGAATTTTGATAACCAGAAAGAAGACCTTGAATCAGTGTTGTATACGGCTGGGAAACTTTAAATTTAATAATGATCGTCGCCAATGGCTTAGAAATATGGTTTCCACTCATTGACACGGCGCTCCAATGGCGGTTGTGTAAAGTGTAAAGTAAAAAATCACAACTGCAGTGGGTGATTGTAACAGAGGTTTACGGATGATGCTAAACTCGCTTTTCTAATGTGTTATTTTCTGTTCCTACCATTGACTATATATATATAGTCAATAGTACCTACTCACCGTGTGATGCAATCGCTGGACCATACAGCCAATAGGCCCATAGCCCATCTCTTGGGTACGTAGCACGATTACTAGAAAAAACCTTTTCTAGTAATCGTGGTACGTAGCCTACCCAATTATTCATAACAAACTGTTCGACGACGATCCTTGATACCGGTACTTTTCCCTAGAATACACGGCCTACCTACTTAAGAAATAAAATTACAAACGTCCAAAAACCCAACGTTGTGTGGTTTTTGTCACATTTCCTTCTAATTTTATTAGATAGCCTTTACCAATCATTGTTTAGAGACTAGGTACGTAATCTATTAAATAACAAAAAGTTGTTTGTATGAGGTTGTTTTTTTTTTTCAAACTGACACCGATAAGTTTACATTAAAAGTTGTTTACAAATAAAGCAATTAATGGCAAATAACTTTGATTGCCGTTTTAAAACGTTTTACGAGAAAATCCAAAACCAAGAGATCAATAACCTCGGGACTTGATTAACTCATATAATTGGTCGGCTGTACTATAGTTCTCAACTGTGAACGTTGGTTTTTGGTACCGGTTCTATTCCTTAGAACCGTTGGTACTGTTGGTAGTAGCAAGAATCATTTTAAGTACCAACACATCACTGTACTTTACAAATTAGTTATCGTTGGTGTTGCACCTTATTTATTATTACAGGCGTATTCAATTTAATTGATGTCTTAACTGTACAATTTTTGCTTTTTCTTTCTTGATTCCAAAATGTTAGTTTATGCTAAGAAAACGATAACGCATTTTAGTAAAACATTTATTCAGCAAACCATAATGAATTGTTTAAATGCTTTACGTTGTTTATGTATCAATAGTTCGTGGCCTATTTTGGTAATATTTACTATAAATTACCAATCGTCTATAGTACTTCATTTCATATAGTAAGCCGTCATTTCGGGTCATCATCGGTCCAAGCAAATATACATTGTTATGATGAAATTTGATGACATTAACAAAATATTTCAGATACTAATTTTACAAGTACTTTGTTATGCTTAAAGCGTAGCAAATCCCCTAATTAAGTTCTGTATTTTTGTGTGTATGTCTGTTAGTAAAGCATTAATGTCCTTATTTCTCAGTGTTTCACGGAAAGGACAAATGTACCTTTATAATGAAAATGTCAACACGAATAAAGTGTTAAATTGGGAGGTTGAGGTAGTACCTTAAATACTTTTAACCATTGTGGAAGGTAACTTTCAATTATAGGCCTACATTAGGGCTATGCCTCATAGATCTATAAAGCATTTTTTAGTTTAATCATTGGATTTAACATATGGACCAACACGACCCAGGTTACATTTAATTTCGAAGCATTTGTTTTGGCTTGAAACTGTCAGATACTGTATTTGCGAAGGTTTATATATAATAGTTTTGCCAGCATATCTGAAAATATGCAAACCAAATTCTGTTCTTAGTAAAAAGGTTTCAATAACTGACTACAATAAGATCCCCGTGCGTAGAACGGGCACACAGCTAGTCCATCTCTAAAATGATGATACAGTAATGACAAACAGTTAAATTAATATGTTATGAACTGAGGTTAGGAAAGATAATGAGCGTTCATTTATGCTTAGAAATGCTTCGGGCAGAATTGCTGCAAACCAGGATTTTAACCAACAGTTAACATGGTGGTAAAGTAAAGTTAGGTAAGTTAAGTGGTGGTTAGGTGGTAAAGCTAACATATAGCTTTAAAACGGTTAAAATTGTTGGCATGCCCATTCAAAGGCATAAAAACCACATATACCTACATTTTCAGGTTTCGTAAACCTTTAAAGCACTGTTCATTATTCTTTCTATTTTATCCATAAGCCAAACAACATGATTGATTGCATTGAAATTTTATAATTTTGATTCAGTAAAAACAGACCTAACTGCGTGTGGGCTCTGTAGACTGACTTGACCAGTTGGCCTCTTAAGGATTCCGCCCCAAACAATAAATGAGGTAATTTAGCTGAAATGTAGGTTACTATTACTGTTTCTGTGTAAACTTTGGCATGTTTTGCCATACAATTATTAAATTACACTTCTAAACAGACATACCAACCTTCTTAGCTGGAGACAATTTTTGCTATGTTTCTGTACGGTTAATGAAGGGCGTTTTGGTGTTTTCTTTTTCTTTCTTGTTATTTTAACAACTTACAAAGTGTATTTTTCATCCATTGAAGTTTCCTGAATTACTAGAGTACTATTATCGAATAAAAACTAAGAACGCTAATGACATTTCAAAACTTACGGTATTTTAACATTCTGCCCGGTGTAGATGCAAATTTCAACGTTTAAGAAAATGGCAAGAATATTCATTTATAAACAAGGCTTATTTAGTACACAATCTTCTGTACATGGTGAATCATGTAAGGTGCCCACTATTGATATCGAACAGGGAGTTGGTCATAAAATTATTAAATTTATAAATCGTACTTAACCAACCCCAGGGAATAAGGTACGTGTAAACCATTTCATACTTTTTTTTTGAATTTACTACGTACCAAAACCAGAGTTTACTAGTTCGAATGCCATAATCGTCAAATAAAACATAATTATGTCAAACTACTCATCATCTATAGATCTATTATGGTTGAATCAGAATTATTGTACTACTGTGAATACCTTAATTTCTTTGAGCTAAGCTTAGCTTTGATATGCAATTTTACAATAATATCACCAAATCATGAATTAAAAAAAAAATGAAAATAGCTACATAGCCAAAACTTAAAAATGTATCAGTACTGTACATCAAACTGCATGCCATTCTAAAGGTATTAGGCCCACCATCCCTAGCAAGTATTAAACATAAAAAAAAACAATATTTTTTAAACAAAAATTAACTAAAAATATGTTTCTCTATAAAAAAAACGCACGTTAATTGTTTGCATTGTAGTTGGTATCTTTTTCGACATTGCGACAAATTATCCTGAACAATAAATCAGAATAGACAAATCTGTGATTTTAAAACAAATACTGTAGAAGTATTCAAAACTGTAAAAACGTTGTCCACATAGAGCCGTAATTTCGAAAAGATTGGAAAAAGTAAATACTTCAATGATTAACTTAAAATATTACCATTGTCTTTGTATGAGTAAAGACGAACTATAATTAGGACATGATGTTTGTATTTGAGAATTGTTAGACTCAAACTAGTAAACCTCTGATTTTGGTACATCCTTCATAATATATATATATATATATATATATATATATATATTAACCTTATTCCTTGGGGTTATTTTAGTTGGGAAATGTTACATTTCATCGTTTTAGGACCAACGGTTTGTCTGCAATCAATAGTGGACACCTTACGAGATTCGCCTTGTATACTTAATACAATAAGGGGTTTCTCTGATAAATTCCTTTTCCATCCGTCGTACTTAACAGATTTTTCCTATTGAGGTGTCACTATAAATGTTAAGATCTACCGAAAGGACGATTGGTAATTAAAAACGTAATTTACTTTAGGGCCTGCACTGTGAAAGCCAGTTGAGCATGGTGTTGTGTTGTTTACTACTCATTTCTGTTTTAAACTTTCTGTTTTCAAGTTTTTATAAAATAGTGCTATTCTAACACCTATACTGAAACATTCAACAAAATCCATCCGTTGTAGTTCAAGATTTAAATTGTATACTTTTATTCATAGTTCGTATTAACATAACACAATAAAGGATACCGGGGGACACACTCGGGAAAACCCTTGGGAAAAAGTGTAAATTTTGCAATTTCTTTCCAAACCATTTTGTAGGGCTCAAAAAACAAATAGTTTAGTATATTGAATCATTGTTGTATGCCTAAAGGTTACGGAAAAATTCCTAAAAAGTTAAAATTGCTTGTCTATGGTTTTTTTAATGAAATTTGGATATTTTGTTTACTTCATACTAAGCAAAAAATGTTTCAACCCCCAATTTTCTTCCCTGTAGCAGCAAACCTAAGTACTCATTAAAATTTATAATATTTAAATAGGAAATAAAGCTGACAATTTTAAGGGAATAATTTAGTGGTGTTTCAGAAAAGGTAGATAGAAATTTACTTAGTCTGCAGGTTTGCTGCGGCGGGGATATTTTTGTTTTTTTTACCGAAACGGAAACTTGTATAGACAAACTTTCAACTCCTAAACGTTTTAAGTTAAATTTTAAAATGTGGTTTTGAGCAAGAAATTGTTTTCTTTACTAATAAATGCAATTCAGGAGTGTGCTTCGTTCAAAACTAATAGCGATTCAACAACATGCTATGATTTTTTATTTACTTTTACCTTGTTATTTCGTAACCATCATGGCAACCCAAAAGCCTAATGTAAAAAATTAAAAATTTTAGCCAGTTTTAAACTGTTTAAGCATTATAAAATTAGATTGTATTTTTTTCATAAGCCTTCCCACTGTTTGTCATAAAACCCTTGATAAGTTTGAATGAAATGTTTCAGCTGATGATAGTGTAAGCTAGTCTAAATAATTTAATTATAAAATTTTATTTCCATTTTTCACTTGTTCTTGCTTGACCAAATTTGTAAACAGTCCCGGCTAGTTGACAGGTGGTCTCATCAAGGGACTGCAACATGTTGTATTGTTCGACAATTAGGCCTACTTGAGCCTCATTGTCACTTCTCTTTGTTACCATCACGCAGACCTTTACACACACAATGCCAGTAACTCCATACATAAATATGTTGCCGAACGTAATGACGTTGGAAACACTAAAGGGTGATGTCACGGCGCATTGTTGTAGGTACGGGACGTTTGATGTTTTCAAGACTTTTTGAAACTTTTTTGGACGTTTATAACTTTGAGAGCGGAGCGAAGTTTGGGATCGACTTCAATGCAATCTTTAGTTTGCAATAACGATGTCAGGGTGCGTAGTAGAAGAATATAGGTGAGGATGAATCAAATTAAAGCCTCCTCTTCTGCAGGGCCGCACGGTTTGGCAACGTCGCACCGGCCGGCCTAACGCCAACAGTAATAACAAAGATGTAAACTTAATTCTTGCAGATGCTCCATTATGAATTTTATACCTTTAGCATTATGGGAGTGCCTCTGATCAACACGTAAAATATATAATAAGTCCAGAGACACTCCCATATTGTTAAGGGTTGTTTCAGTAGGCCGGGAAAGCAGCGATGCCACTGTCTCACCAGTCACCGCGGCCTGGTATTAGAGGAGGAAATGATGAAATTGTAGCTATACAGGCTAGATCAGCTGGATCTTTAGTCAGTGCCAATGCCAATATCAAATTTGGCAAATTTCAGGTTTAAACCATTTAAGCCACAGAACTTTCCCAAAGTTGAACAGGTAACTTGCAATTGTGGATTCAGTTGTTTTCATATCTGTGCGTACTTGAATTCTTACAATACTGATCAAATAATGATCAATATTTACTGTAAGGTAGTTTTAAAGTTGTTTTGAGTGGAGTAATTATTATCCCTCATTATTAATGACTCTATGCTGTACTATATTAAGTTTTGTTGTCTAGTTAAATTTATAACATTATTAAAATTACTTATATTTAAAGATGTTTCACTTTTATACGTCAAGTCGGTATACGTCACTTTTTCCGTATCCTAAAGGATTTTAGGTTGTTTTATACCTTTTAGCATTTAAAGCACATTGTTAAAATGTTAATGTTTTAGTTTTTAAGGTGTTTATTACATGACTCGTTTATACACAGCGTCTGTTGTCACTGAAAAGCTGTGTTTTCGTAGCCTTTTTGTAAAGGGTTTCTTAAATAATTATTGAACATTTTTTCTTTATTGTTACTTTTTTCATTTTAATAAAACATCTATGTAGCTTACTTATACAAATTGACTTACCTTGAAATCTTTCTTCTTGGTGGTCAGTCCTTTTCAGTTTCCCTGGCTCCTTTGATAAAAACGTTTGTCTCCACGTTTAACAGCCGACGTTGGATATTAAAATACCATTGTTTGGACCATTAGTTTACAAAAAAGGTCAACACGAAAAAAATCACTATATGGGGTGTCTTTAATAGCATTGCAAAGGCGTAGCCAAACTACAATAATGTTTTGTTCCACTATTTTTTATAACATAAGTGATCATTAAAAAAAATAATTCTAAACATTACTATACAATATTGACTGGGTGGATTATTTTATTTTAAATTCCTTTTTTTGGAGTTTCTATGGTGTCCATGTTTTTTTTTTATAGGTAATCTCATAAAAACAATACGTTGTGATATACAGTTTGTTTCTAAAGGTAAATTTTTGTTCTAGCTCAAGATGAACTATTGTAAAGGTTCTAAAGGTAAGGGATTTACCTTTATTCCATATTAAACATACTGTACTACAAATCCTACGGACCTGTTGACTTCTTACATACCTTAATTCTAAAGATTTTTGATTTTGTGCCAAGACAAAATTCATTGTAATTTGCATACAAACTTAACATATTATAATTTTTCTATGGTCTACATTAATTCTACAACACCAACGGGACGAAATGATAGAGTTTTTCTAGGTAACAATTTGATAATTAATTTATTAGATACATTTTAATATCTATATCTACATTACACTTTATGAACATGACCAACTTAATTTAAAAATTATACACTTTATTAATTTTACAAGTTGTTGACAAACGTTTTAAAAAACTATTACAAAACTAGCAAACTATATGTATACGTACAAAAATTATAAATTATTAGAAAAAAAGTGTAGGCGAGCTTCTAAATACGACACATAGTACACACAGAAACTAGCGCCAGAACAGATGTTCGTGATACATAGAGAAAGGAGCCTGACCACACAATGCATAGAGTAAGAAGTGACCGAGTCGTGAATGTTGGAAGTTAAATATAATGCTTTCGAGTTCAATTAAAACCAATGCTTCTTAGTGATAGTCTAGTTAGAGCCAAGTGATATTTAAAAGGTGATACAGTATTTCAACAAAATATTTTTAACAATAATTGAAACTATGTTTGATAAGAAGTTATCTCCTTTTTCATGATCATATTACCGATCAATATCCCTATAGAATTGCGACAAAAACAAAGGTGTTGAGATTTTAATAGACAAATTGCATAATTTGGTGATTCAAGTTATATTAAATACCCTTACACATATTTACCCTTCGTTGTATCCACTTATACATACTTGTACTGCTTTACATAGTGTTTCCAAATTTTCTTAACCTCCAAACCCATTCTAAAAGCAAAGTAGCATAACCTAATTACCAAATACCTGTCTTTGACCAATATATTAATAGGTAATATTGGTTGTAGCAGTTCCATAAATTGATCAAAACTTTTGACGCAGCTATTAGTCTAGTTCTAAATACAGTAATTTGATCAAGCTCGACAACAAACAGTTATAGCCTTTATTCTACTCCCTATACATCGAGACACTACTTAAAACAATGGCAGAGAATGAATATTTGTAGTTAAAATATTCTATAACAATTTCTTTTTTTTTTTGTAATCGTTTACCGTTGTTCCCGGTAGTAACTCCTGTTTAAGTAACTTTCTTTGACATTTTACAATGAAACTGTACCGATTTCACTTTGAAACTAACTTTGATATTGAACTTTAGATTGAATTTCAACCGTGTTATGTGCAAAGCTAAATAACCCACCGCACATGTAAGTATATAACCATAGACAAATTAAATTAAATATAGACCGTCAGCAGTGCTGCGGTTAGCATAAGTTCTGGCGTCCACCGCTAGGAGCACGGTGTGGTTACGTAGCACGTGCGCCATACTGCACGGCGCTTCAAGCAGTGGACGCCAGAACTGTTGCTAACCGCAGCACTATAACTATCCAATAATAGTTCTCCACGTAGGTAATTGTGAGGAGTGTAAAAATAGTTTCGCGCACACGAAATGTTTATTCCAGTATTCGATGAAGGAAATCCAAACATTTAACGTTAAATTATAAGAAGCGACTTTAGCATAAAAGGTTTATGGTGGCATCTTACGAATGAAGTAAAGCGATTTTCTAACACAATAGGTTTGACGATTATTTTACCTAAAAATAATAGTCACATAGTCACATAGAGGCGAGTTTAAAAATAACACTCTAAAACTAACAGAAACACACACACACTCATCCACTGCGACTAGTTGATTACCAATGGCATGATAACATATATAAATCATAGCTGGCCTGGGATTAACAATATAATACAATGTAGGCCTTATGGAAACAATACTCTATAGCTAAATAGATTGCTAGCGAACCGACGGTGCCTATGTGCCTTTAAAGTTCGTTCGTAAATTTATTGATTTACAAGTGGACAGTTTGATAAATAAGCATGCGAATCGAATTAACACCTATTTTATTTCAAAGTAGGTTTTGTATTTTTTTAGTCTGTATTGTTATTAGATTTTTATATTGTACTGTGTGGACACAAAAAGTACAGTAGATGTATGATTAGTCGAATGTTAACATTTATAAATAATTAATATCACAATTAGGTGATTGATTGTAATGCCTGCATTGCATACTTGTTAAAAACATTATGTACGCTCATAAAGTATAGAATAGCTTAGTATTATGTGCAAAATAAGAGATGCAGTAGGTTTAGTAATATTTTTTAAGTACGTTTATAGTAAATCGTGGAATTCTTTTTACTAATTCACTACAATATTGTTATGAAAACATCTCTGAATACAATTGTGCAAAGAAATCAGCCAATAAAAATATTCAAAATGGATTCAATTTTTTAGTTAGGCTACAATGAATTTTAACTCGGTTTTATGTAATTTTATGTTGAAACAATATGCTTACGATTATACTCTTAATTTTTCAACTCAATCTATTTACAGTACCTTTTATAACTTAAGTTTACACTGAATAACCGTTAGTATAAGACAAATAAACTTGTCCAACAATAAAACACATTTTAATTGGAAAAACAAATAACCAAAGTCATACCCAAAGTTATTTTGTTAACTCATCAAGACATTCCTTCTTAGTAAAATACTTCTTGCTAGTATTACTGTTTGTTTAAAAAATAACTATAACATCACAAAATCGTCTTTATTTCCAGTGTTACTATTAGTGTGGATGTCACTGCAATGAGCATTTTGTACCAAACTAAAGCGTAGCGAGCTTAACGGGGATTCTTATAAATAAATATAAAATAAATCTTGTCTCCTGTACATAGATAACGCACTGTATCACTTACGTGTCTTATTTTTTGTTTGTTTATTGTTTATCTCAATTCACAACATAATTTTTCTGATTTTTAATTATTACGAAACAAAGAATTATATGCATTACGTTCCAGTTATGAAGAACTTCCTGTTCCTCAAGTATTTTACAAGTAGCCTTAATTATTCCATTTTCGCATCCGGATAAGAAAAGTCCTCCAATCTCATCGACATCTCTACGATTTGCAATGCGAATTCGACGAGAAACTCTGATACTAATTGTAATGCTAAACTCAGTTGTAAATTGTAATGTGGAACTCTTTTGGAATTTCCAACGAGGAACTCAATAGTTTGTAACCAGATATTCTGTTGCTACTTCAAACGAGGAACTCGATCATTGTAACGAAAACTGTTGCAAATTGCAACTAGAAACTCGAACTCAATTTCTAACGATAGACGTCAATGCAATTTCTAACGTCAAACTCGGTTTTTTATAGCGAGGAAATAAGTTATTTTTAGTGAAGAAATTGGTTATTTTGAACCAGAACAAAGTTCCCAATGCTCACAGCAGTGACATCACCAGGTACTCATCATGAGGCACAAGTTTCATCTAGAACCATCTGAAGTTGCGCTCATTTCTGTGGAAAGCGTTGGGGACATTGACATCGACAGACACATACACAAACACCCACGCTGTCAGCCATAAAAATATATGTGATCTATAAAAAACTATTGCCCCATAAAGGTGCTGGCTGGAGCTACTCTAACACCGAGAAAAGGTCCTTTCCGTTGCCTCGCGAAGGATCACACACAGATGTGGTTGAACTAGTAGAAACGATTTTGTAAATTAATTTTTAGGAATACGTATTGAGTATTGTGAAATCTTTGTAGCTATGTTCAGTGCCAAAGTTAGGGTATTTGCAACCCTGGGCAAAATTAATCCGAGTGGGCGCCAGCCTTACTTTGGAACTTCCCGCGAATTTTCCGCGATCGTGGTGAAATCGTGAGCTTATCCCGCGATTGCGGAGACTTCATCATCATCTCCTACACTCGTAGTAAATACGTTTTTATATAATAATAATTGCATTTTTTATGGTTTTGTCTTTTTCTTGTGAACTTGAGTGGTAAATCCGGCATCGTTATAATTCTTGACTAGCAACAGGTTTTGCAGCTTCTTTATTTTACTAATCTGTGGCATTCCAACACTTGTGAACACGGGTTTGTTCCTATCATACTCCTAAAACATTTTAGGCCACATTCGTTGATCATTTTGAAATAATTTTACATCCATTTGACTACGTTTTGACATTGATTTGGTATCTATTTTTTTACAATAAAACTCAAACTCAATTAATAACTCATGCTAAAAGTTTGTTTAAAAAAGTTTTTTTTATTAGCGCTTTTTACAGAAAATGTAATAGATACCCCCATAAATATTCGGACCACAGAGAACTTTCAAAAGTACTTTCACCTACGAGACAACAAACCGGACCTTTTTATAACAAAGTTGACGTACGATTGACTGTATGTACAAAGTACAATAGAATGTACAATACTAAGTGCATCACAGAAGTGAGGCCCCTACAAGTCGAGTATCGCATATGCGGCATAGCGACACAACTAGTTGGCGCTGGCTATAACAACGGCAGATCGCATATGCGGCATAGCGACACAACTAGTTGGCGCTGGCTACAGCAACGGCAGATCGCATATGCGGCATAGCGACACAACTAGTTGGCTCTGGCTACAACAACGGCAGATCGCATATGCGGCATAGCGACACAACTAGTTGGCGCTGGCTATAACAACTGCAGCCGGAGGTCGTATGTATCGCATATTTGGCATAGCGTCACATCTAGTTGGCACTTACTATAACAACTTCAGCCGGAGGTCACATGTATCGCATATGCGGCATAGCGATGCAACTAGTTGGCGCTGGCTATAACAACGGCAGCCGGAGGTCGTATGTATCGCATATTTGGCATAGCGTCACATCTAGTTGGCGCTTACTATAACAACTTCAGCCGGAGGTCACATGTATCGCATATGCGGCATAGCGATGCAACTAGTTGGCGCTGGCTATAACAACTGCAGCCGGAGGTCGTATGTATCGCATATTTGGCATAGCGTCACATCTAGTTGGCGCTTACTATAACAACTTCAGCCGGAGGTCACATGTATCGCATATGCGGCATAGCGATGCAACTAGTTGGCGCTGGCTATAACAACTGCAGCCGGAGGTCGTATGTATCGCATATTTGGCATAGCGTCACATCTAGTTGGCGCTTACTATAACAACTTCAGCCGGAGGTCACATGTATCGCATATGCGGCATAGCGACACAACTAGTTGGCGCTGGCTATAACAACTGCAGCCGGAGGTCGTATGTATCGCATATTTGGCATAGCGTCACATCTAGTTGGCGCTTACTATAACAACTTCAGCCGGAGGTCACATGTATCGCATATGCGGCATAGCGATGCAACTAGTTGGCGCTGGCTATAACAACGGCAGCCGGAGGTAAATCAACAATCAACCAACAATAAACACTAATACTTGCAAATTCAAATCAACAACATCAACGCGTTATAGTTTTATTAAAGACAATTTTAACACCACATTTATTGAAAAAAAATAACAAGCGGGAACGATTGAGGATTAGACGGTTCTCGTTGGATTTTGTGGTGTATTTAAGTATAATTTATATTTGAGTTTTAATTGACGTGTACAGATATTATTTTATATAATTATTTTGAGAGTGTTACAATATACGCAATAGGTTAATCAGAATTTTAGTGTATGCAATTTCAACTCAACAAACATACAGGCTCAGGTTTGTTGTTTTTATTTTGCCGTTCTGAAATTAAGTATTCTTTTCCAATACCCTCATGAGCTTCATTTAACTTTGTTAGATATCATGTAATATATGACCTTCAATGATATATGTTCAAAACTTATAATAAAAGTAGTACAATTACACAGGGAAATATTTAATAGTTTGTTACTACTTTTATTCTTGGTAAGTTGTATTCATTGGTTTAATTTAGAACCAAATGATCCTCAACCAGGTTCCGCTCAAACAATACAAACCAACAAATGCATACAAATGGTTGGAACAGCTGATTGTCACCTTCCAAGCGCTCGAAGTGAAGCTTCTAACATACAGGAGGAGGCAGGGGCGTTGAGCGACCGGAGTACACATGACATTAAGGCTTATGTCGTCTTCTGGTGTTGGTGGTATGCCGTAGCACAACGGAATAAAAAACACAACCTCCTCATCACTATAAAACACTTTGCACCGATTGTATTACTAGTAACAATTATTATAAATCCACAAATAACGAAAAGCGAAAACATCGATCGGGCGTCTACGCTAGACGTCACCGGGCCCATACTTAGGACAGCTTTAGCCTCCCGCGGCCTAACAAATCAATCTACAACAATGGAGTGAATAAGGCAGCTAATAACTATCAAAAGTATGGGTGTGAGGAGCGTCCTACCCTATCCCGTCGCGCGAGCGGGCTCTGCAACGGCTGGCGGGGGCGGCGGGGCTGGGCAATGGAGGAACTCGGGGCAGTAATCGAGTTATTCAACGAGAGCAAGCAAAGAGTATTCAAAAAATCTATTGAAACTTATCAATTGACTCACAATATTACATATCTTGCTGAAATCAACAGAAATAGTTTTCCCATTTTAAGTTATACCAACAATATAAAAATCAAAACCCATGTCCCGCGTTCGTTAATGATTCGTTGCACGAGGTGTAGGTTGGTTGCCCAGCCGCACCGCACGCCGTCGCCGCAGACTACAGGCTTGTCAGATAGTTGAGACCCACCGTGGAGTGGCCAGGAGCCGGCTCGTCGACGGGGTAAGGTAGGAGCTGACAGTCCCCTCAGTCGTCCCCGTCCAGACCTATCAGTTCCGCTTGGAGCCGTCCCTTCGACCTACAACACACGGTCAAACACAGGATACGCAGCATGAGTCGGAACTGGGGGCTGAGTGTGAGGAGGACGATGGCCTTCCAGACGGAGTTGAGCACGCCGAGCCAGAAGACTGTGAAGTGGATGTTGGGTATCGTGAAGCGGTGGTTGCCCCAATACTCGTACATCCTGATGAAGATGAAGGGCAGCCACGACAGCCAGAAGGTGAGGATCAGCACGAAGCTCATCACGTGACTGGGATTGGACAGGTTCTCGGAGAGTGCGGTCGCGTACTCCTTGTCGTGTATAGGAACTCCGCTGCGCAGTCGCTTCATCATGGAGAAGATGTAGGTGTAGGTGTAGACGATGGTGATGAGGCTCGGTCCCAGCACCATGATCGCCAGCGTCACCGTGTAAGCCGCCATGTCTTTCCAGTCCAACATGCAGACAAACGCCTTTTCGTCGAATCTGCAAAAGCCAATGACATTACCAAGAAGTCTTTTGTAAAATACATAAAAATCAGTAACATACCGGTATGAGCTACGTACAAGAGTTTAGACCGGAGAAACCTGCTAAGCTGCAGTCTGCGCTTAATCTAGTAGGATTGAACCCTGTGAAGCAGCCATTGACCATGAGTTCCACATGTACTTTAGTACACCGAAAACAAACAAGGAAGTAATGTTTCTAAGGCCACCATTCAAATTATTAGAGAACACTTACTCCTTTGGCAAATTTGATCAAAATGCATTTATGTTCTTACTTTGGCTGGTTGAAGCCGAGGAGAGGTGGACAGCACATCATGGCAGCTGATATCCAGGTGAACGCCATCCAGCACTGGCACCGGGTCTTGGTCTGTACAGTCTCGTAGCGCAGCGGCTTGCGCACGGCGAGGTACCTGTCCACGCTGATCCACATGAACGTGTACACCTGAACAGGCAGAGGTAGACGAGCGTTAGGTGTATCAATGTATAAACCAGAACTGGCAAATAAGGATTAGAATATAAAATTAAAACGTGTGCAACTGACGAATAATCCTTATATATAATACGTGAAGGCGATTTCTACGAAACACTACTCCTCCGTTAATAATGGACGTATTTTTATAAACAATGTGTCAAAATTAAGTATTTTTTGTGTAGACGCCCCCTTTCACCAATTCATGTAATAAAAGTCCTCGGGCTTTGCCCCACAGGCCATTAAAATCACAATGCATTTATTAGGAAGAAAAGATTTTGTTTACATAAACAGACGAATAATTTGGATTAACACATGATACACACAAGAGCTTTTCGTTTTCAGAGTGAGTTCGTTTTCAGTTTCGATAAATGCAGTGGAGTGATTGATTACACATTATCTTTGAGTTGACTCTTTTAAGTCATCGGAAATTATGATTGTTAATCGTTTTGAAATAACGCCTGTAGTACTTTGCAATTGCTCGAATTCGAAAAACGGGTGCACTAGTATATATTAAAAAGTGACAGGGTTTTTTTTTAATTCACGATCCTGAATCAACCACTTGACGTATTTTCATGATTTTTATGTTGAAAGAAAGATAAATTTGAGAACCAGTAACCAGTGTGTGTGAATCGACCGTCGATCTTATATTCTGTTTTAATCGACTACTTGATTCTCATAGGTAGGAGGGGCCAAGAGCTATTAATATACTCATTATAGGAACATGAAGGTACAAACCACAACAAAAAGGTGAGAAAGTGTAAAATGAAGATAAATAAAACTCAATTGAACAAAAACGTATCCACCTCAGCGAATGGAAAATGTTTACCATGTAAATATCGATCAACAAATTTACAACTACATTCCAAAACAAGTTCTTACCTGAACGGCCCAAAGAGTGACCTCAAGGTAGCCAATGAGGCGACAGACTATGTCACCATACACCCAAGAGTGGACCAGGGCAGGGTACACGGACAGAGGAACCACCAACAACCCACACAGCAAGTCTGCCACGGCCAGTGACAACAGGTAACAGTTGATCACGTCTCCAGGGGCTGCAACGAGAAAACAGTGTTACTTCTACTTGTGACAACACCAACAACCCACACAGCAAGTCTGCCACGGCCAGTGACAACAGGTAACAGTTGATCACGTCTCCAGGCGCTGCAACGAGAAAACAGTGTTACTTCTACTTGTGACAACACCAACAACCCACACAGCAAGTCTGCCACGGCCAGTGACAACAGGTAACAGTTGATCACGTCTCCAGGCGCTGCAACGAGAAAACAGTGTTACTTCTACTGTACTTGTGACAACACCAACAACCCACACAGCAAGTCTGCCACGGCCAGTGACAACAGGTAACAGTTGATCACGTCTCCAGGCGCTGCAACGAGAAATCAGTGTTACTTCTACTGTACTTGTGACAACACCAACAACCCACACAGCAAGTCTGCCACGGCCAGTGACAACAGGTAACAGTTGATCACGTCTCCAGGCGCTGCAACGAGAAATCAGTGTTACTTCTACTGTACTTGTGACAACACCAACAACCCACACAGCAAGTCTGCCACGGCCAGTGACAACAGGTAACAGTTGATCACGTCTCCAGGCGCTGCAACGAGAAATCAGTGTTACTTCTACTTGTGACAACACCAACAATCTACACAGTAAGTCTGCCACGGCCAGTGACAACAGGTAACAGATAAAGATAAAGAAATACAACAGATGGTCATTAAAATAAAATCGCATTCAACATAACTAGCAATTGGGCAAAACAACAATTTCTTACCGGAGGTAATTTTGTTGTTGTGCGGAATAATTATAGTATCATTTTCACATGAAATGACTAATGCGACTTTTTACACCTAAATATGTTTTACATATAATTATTAATGAACTTTTAGCCACCATGCACTTTTAGTACGGGATAATTTTACTCGTTTGTAAGTTTGTTAAACCTAGGTTTACTTAAAACTAAAAAAGTTGGTCATTCCATCACAATACATTTCAAATAAAATGTTTTTGCAGCGTTAAAGCATTCCTATTAAAAAATAAACAACAGAAAACCTAAAAAAAAACAGTTTAGAACAAGATTAAACTTTTAGTTAACGAAGAGAGCAGAACACCAGATAATAAAAGCAGTAGACCGTGTAACGGACATACGGAGCATCACATATAGTATAACGCGGTATTAAACTTGTACCAGAGTAGGTTGGCTGCCCTGTGTGATTTATAGTGGTGGCTCACCCTGGCGGGCTGCCAGAGCATCAGCTGCTCTACAAAATTGAGTTACCTGTATTTTTCATGGCAAAATTGACTCGTTTGAAAACTCATTGTGCAATCAATATCGTTGTTAAGGAATTTAAACCCGGTTTACCAAGAAATCAATGACGAGAATTTGATATCCATGTTAATGTTTTAGTCCATTTAAAAAATACAAATGAAGGATTGAGTTGATCAACCGAAAGATTGAATTGATGTAAATTAATGATTTTAGACTACTGTAGATGTCAAATACGTAAAATATTTAGCAGGAAATAAAATTTTACGGGGAGAAAAATATTTGTTCTTCTATGAGAATCCTGTTATAAGAGAGGGATGTTTGATTAAAATAATTGCCAAGAAGCCGTATTAAAATTTAAAAAAATAATGTTTCAGTTCACGTAAACAAATTTCTCACTCCCTTCTCCTTATTTCACAAAGCAATTTTTTAATATATATTTTACTGTTATATTAGTATAGTTTTCATAACGTATACTTTTTATTTGAATAAAATTGCGAACCAGGGAAGTGAGTTTTACTTTTGTTTACACAGAAAGCCTATATGGGTTGATGTACATGAATATTTGATTTCCCGCAGGTATTGTATGTATACATCTTGTCTATTAACTCGTGTTGTTTTAGTTAATTCAGTTGCATATCCGGTGAAATATTAACAATTTAAGTTCTCAGTTGTTATGAACATTTTTGACACAACCTTCATTTGCTTCCATAGTGAAGTGTTGTACAATTTAGTATATGTAAAAACTGATCAATTGTAAATAGTAGTAAATACGTATATTATAATGTCCTTGTATACCGTTGTGCCATTATACATTCTTAGGGGGAGGGAGCTGGTTTTTGTGGTAGAGCGCCTGGTTTCGGACCCCGAGGTCATGGGTTCTAATCCCGTGTTATAAATCGATTCGTTATTATGTTACATATCGATGTGTCAATATGTTTTATTATGTGCGCTACCAACTGAGCCGATGGCTCACCTTCATTCCATATTACCTAGCCATACATAGAGTTTAAGTTAAACCGTAAAGTCTTATTAGATTTATTAGGTAAGAATACATTTCAATACAAATTTAATTGAAATATATACATCCTAAATGTTCTTTTTTCTTGGATTCCTTAAGTTTACATGACAATTTTAAAAGTACGACTGTTACGTTTTAAATAATAACTTTATACTCGCTAAGTTGCATACCGAAATAATAGTGTATTACTGAACATATATAGTTCAGTAACAGACGGTTAAATGGTTAATTTTGAATCTAAGCTAGAGGACCCATGCCGCTCCGCAGTGTTAAAATAAATATCTCCGAGAAATAATCAAATTTATGATATTTGATTGAGTAATACACTATCTTCATCTTATCTGATTCAAACGACCAATCAAAATTAAAGTGTACAATTTACTGATTATTTTGAGTCGAAAACATACAAAAATACTTAAACAATACTGAAACTATTATTTTTTATTAAAAAAATCTTTTAAAACAATTTTTTTAATATATTATAAGATTGCGTGATAAATATACAGCACAAATATTACCCCAGAATGTTTTACAATTAATGTTAGACTTAATATCTCAAATATAAATTCCGTCGAAAACAATCCCCTACTGTCGTTTTGGCAACTTAAGTATATCAACTGAAAATTGTATATGTATTTATTGCCAAACTCTAGACAGAAAACAGCACAACGATCCTAAATATCAGGATGCACTTTGGGGACAATATAACCGACCTACTTCCTATTTCAACTAGGCTCAACTGGGGTTTCAGCAATACGGTTCAATATGACCTACTTATGGTCCGAATATCGCCTAGGACAGCCATAAAATTGAGTCCTGTTTTATACCTTATAGTACGGTTTATACCTAAAGTAAATTCTATCTTCTCTGTTCAAGAAATAGCTATCATTGTTAATCCTATGTATCATATGAATAGACAAATTATTTCGCCGAATCAAAGTGAAAATACAATTTAAAGGTATAGAACTTTGTATGCCACATGAACAATATCAGTAACAAGATACTTAAGAGTGGAAATATAATTTTAGGCAGAAGCTTACTCTGTGAGGGGCTTATTCAACAATGTTATTGATTTTACTTTCTCTCCATACACGGAGAAAGTATTGCTTTCGTCAACATTATCAAGTTTGAGTTTTTCGTTTTGGGTCCCCCTGGACCCAAAAAAGTGGTTTTCGAAGTAATGAGTGTGTAGATGTATACATAGCTACAGACCACTCCTGTTGTCTGATTTTTATGAAATTTGGTATGTGGGTACTAATCCATGGTATCTCCAGGCGTCTTTTTAATTTTTAAGAAATTTTTGTTGTGGTGATTTCCCCATAAAACCCCATACAATAACGGAAAAACCCACATTTTCTCGAAAATAACTTAAACGATTGTGATAAAGATTTCGTATGTTGTAGCCCTTTAAATTCTAAACAAATTGGTAACACAGGCCCCGGCCCATTCCGGTAAAAATTACGGTTCAAACGGTATTGTAACTCCCCATTAAATAAAGAAAAAAACTCCCCATTAAACGCTGTATTGTTATTTTCCCATAAAACCCATAAAAACTGAAAAATGGATAGTTAAAAAAGAAACCTGTTCTGATTGAAATTTATCTGTTATGGTCCTTATAATTCTATACAAAATTGTGCAACACCCTATACCTGTAAAAATTACGGTTTCAAAGTTTATGCAACTTTTGTGATTTTACCTAATATCATAGTTACTCTCATCGTTTACCCATGATAAAGGTTGTTGACAAGCTAATGGGAGAAAGTATGTGTCAGATTGCTGATACCATTTATCTTCATGATTAGGCCTACAGCTTGGTCCATATGTACGTTATGTTTACATCAGTATCGAAAAGTTAATTTCTTCCTACAAATGAATCCTAAAAACAAATAGAAAATTTCTAAAAACATAAACTCGATATTTACAACTATTCATGTATCCAAATAAATAAGTTTACACCGTGTTAATTAACTTATTCACCACTTATCCATGCACAATGGAAAACAGCTAATTATTTTATTCGCAATTCTGAAGGTACAAATTAAAAGCAACGATCGTAGCATCATTAGAGGCCATTATACGTACCTGTTGAGCGTTCGCGGAACAAAAACAGCAGCATTAACTGGTTAACTCAAAACACTTATCGGGCAGTTTCGTCCCAAGCGGCCACTTACTTTATTGTTTCAAATACATTATCGTGCCTCGATATTGTTTAAGCTGCAACAATGATTTATGATTCAATAAGAACTAGTAGCTTTAATGGTACTGTTGGTTAAAATATTTAAATGTTTTCTATATGCTTTGTGCCTATTGTAAAATAAGGATCATTATTGACTCTTGGAGAGCATTCTATATTTATTCGCAAATGCCCCCTTCAAACTAGATGCTTTAGGAAAGTAGGGAGTCCTATGTGATTTAGAGATCGAAAATTGGAGAACAGAGTTCTTCTAATGGATATGTCGATTTCCCAAAATTGCACAGCTATTGGTGACCGGTTTAAGTTGGGTGATGAAAAAGATTCCTATAGACAGACGAGCATTTTTTATTTTATACAATTCCTAGTAGTTTTACCTCCTCTTTGCAATAATGTATGATTTTTTTTTTATTTCTTTTAATAAGTTTAGTTACTTTTGATATGCTGAGACTCATTGACTTGAGATACTTCAAAGTAAACCAACTCCTGTAGCGAAACCTGTAGTTTGTTGTGACGTGTTTCATTTCGATAAAGGTTCATATTTGTTCAGCTTTCATAAAAATATATTATTTGAATATTCGGTACTGTATATGCAATAATGATTTAGTTTAAAATACCCAACCAAAAATGTTACTTTCCAAATAATTTTTAAATTCTACCTACTTACATTTAAAGTGTTTAATGCAAAATATATTTCATAGATCGTTATTAACGTAAAAAAAACCGTTTTACTTCGTTTTAATATAGGTCTAACGTTACATTTTCCACTCCAAACTAACTGTAGGACAAAATCATATAGCAATTGTAAAATCCTACTAATATTATAAGTGAGATAGTTTGGATGTATGGATGGATGGAAGGATGGATGGGTGGATGGATGGATTGATGGATGTTTGTGACAAGTAAACGCGAAAAATACTGGTCGGATTGGGCTGATATTTGGTATGATGACAGCTCACGTTCCCGATTAACATATAGACACATTCTTTTCTCAAAAATCCTTCCGGGCTCCGCCTCAGTGGCTCTGGAGTTTCCCATGTTAACCTTATGAGTATTCATATTTAAAAGGAATAAAGGAATTTTGCCAACTGTTTCAACTAGACAAGTTGGTTCTATTATTAAATAGAATTAATAAGTTATAAGTTTACCAACAGGGTGCAGCACTATTAATTTTTTTTTTTTTTTTGTATATATGGCATAATGTAATTTGAACTAACTAGCAACAAAAAGCTGTGAAAAATTATAATTTCACTTGTTTATTGTTAAGGAGCAGTGGTACAACATTATGGCTATGACAGATGTGCTATACCATGGACAAAAAGAATTAAATACTTTTTATGGCTTTACTATATCATACCGTAAATTAAAAAAAATTCTTAAACCGTGTCCTCTCCCATTGCAAACGCAAAGCACGAGTATAACTGCAATTAGCATTTTATACTTGCCAACACCATACGAAGGACGCGTACTCTGCTAGTATTAAAATAAATCTAGTGTAAACGAACTGATCATCGACGATGCTATTGAGAGCAGGGCACTTCCTCGAGTATCGACATTGTACTGGCGTGTAAAATTGATGCCGATGAATATTTAACCATCACGTATCTTTTCACCTGTTACTCTCACGGGACTATTACAAGTACAAGCTTGTCTCAATAACTAGAACCGAATACTTTCATCACATTCAAACTGACTTGGTCCGTTTTAATATTTAAAGCCTCCGTTTACGGATTCATAATCTGTCAAAACAATGTTTTTACGTTAGAAAATAATTTTATTAGGTCCCATGATAAAATCTACTTTATAATTTTTCATGACTCTGTATTCGAAAATAAGAAATTTCCATACAGCTGAGATCTTCAAAAATCGTCAATTTCCATACACCAAAAACAAATAGTGATCAGCTGACTTTTCCTGATATAAAAATTATATTTTGCTACATAAACATTATTTTGCTTGACATAGAAAAATTTACAACCGGAAAAATGAATTGATTACGAAATTTGAGATAGTTAAGTTTGAGATAGATACGTTAGCGAGATAGCGTTTGAAAAGCTAGATTACTTTAAAGCAAAATTTTCACATGTATCTTAAAAATCGTTTGCTCTCAGTTGAGGGAGTTCTTACGCAGAAAAGTTATCCTATCTTAAGGGGTTGTTTTTTTTAAATATTATTTTTAGACAGACAGACATTTCGATCAAGGTAGGGTCCTAACTACCACATTCAATATTATCACATACCTAAAGTAATTGGAGATTTGTATGATTAGAACCTACTCACAATAAGACTATGTATAAGTTAGTTAGAAGAATCATACAGTTGTAACAAGGGAAACGTGTTTTTTATCTCAAAGAACGCTGAAGAGCTTTACAGAAAGTCTCAAAATGCACTTGCAGAAAATGATGCTCATCTGCGCCATCCACTTCAAGTGGTATATTTTTCCACGATATGTTTACTTGGTAAATCTTTGACTTTAAATTCAACCATCCAGTATCTTTGCTACATTTTGCATTACTTTACCCACTAGGTCATCTTACAATATTTCTTTGAAAGATTTTAACTTCTAAAATTAGTAAATGGTAGTTCAAGCTTATGTTAGGTTCATTAATTTTGCCCATTTGGAATTTATTAGAGTCTAGTGCACATTCAAACTTTACCTGAAACTAATTATCAACTACTCATTCATAATAAATGTTTAATTTTCATCATAGACTAATCATTCAAACTTAAATCATTAAACTATAATCTGAAAAATTATAGGTAAATGTTATCTAAACATATAAAATAAAAATCCCCCACTTACTCACTGACTTATTTTTTACTTATCCATATTTCCGAGTAGTTTGAAGGCTGGAATTCTGAATACACACTATTCTTGAGTCATTGTTCAGGTTGAATAAAATGAAGGTTAAAATGCCTTTCCAAAGATTTTACCGAAACATTGCGACTTGAAATCCCTTAGGATTCTAACGGTTTTCTGATGAACGTTCAATCCATCTGTATACTTCATACAGTAAGGGTTTTCTTTTGTTACACCCCTTTTCCAGCTGTCCTACTAAACCGATTTTTACTATAAATGAGTCATTTTAACGCTTATGATATAGTGCACCTGCGAGTTGCAATTAAAAAGGTAATTTCCTTTAGGGTTTCACCCCATATAACAATGTATTTAACAGGATATTTTTACAACTGTTGCCTGATTAAGTTAGATAAATCACTTTTCATAGTGTATATGTGAAATCATGAATTTATAGTAAATTAGTAGTTCTATTAACCTAATAACTATTCTAAACAAACATAATCTTGAAAAGGTAAATGAGTGTTTTTTATTATTCCATGTAACATTAAGCTCATTTTTGATTATTCTGTTTTTACGTTACACACGATTTGCATTTTTAAACGTTAAAGGTTTTAGCCACTTGTTACTTGTAACCTTGTTTACAACAATACTGCGTTCCTCAGGGCTACATGTATATGAATAATTTACCGCCAAAAGGTGGTCGTCTGGAGACAGGGCGGGCCCGCGGGCGCGGGTATTGATGACCAGCTGGCACGCGAAACAGCTGATCGGTGCAAGTCAATATTTGGCTTTATCATGTAGCCGCCACTCCATACAGTGACCCCACTATACTGGTAATACCATTGACTTTGGATGCTGTCAGTATACTTCTCGTATTGTAAAATCTAAGGCTCGTTGCGGTGTATTTTATGGGTGGTAGCGATAGAAAGGATAGATGAAGGGTAGCAATTAGCTTTTTTGGTGTACGCTTTTCACTTGAAACGATGTTTGATAACCATGAATTTAATGCTGAGTGATTGCGAAGAGATATTGCTATTTTCTTGGAATAGTTTAAAAGTTTGTCAACGAATTTATAAAAAGAAACATTAATAGAGGAGAGAAACATAAGTTTCTCACTCTAGGATAAACATCGATAAAAACACTCCTATAAACATTGATTGTAGAAAAGGAAGGCAGAACATTTTTAAAAATTTAAGTGAAAAGTACTCGTACATCAATGCATTATAGCCTAACTGGTCACAAACTTAGATTGTCTTTGACAGTGCTGTGAGAATGACGATGCTAGGGATTATATTCAAGGTATGTCCTTCGTCGATTATTACAGTCCCATCAATCGTGTCAAGTTTCATTTGTAGATGCAATATTTTGACATAATTATACATGTAGTTTTACGCAGAACTACATGAACCGTGTGACTGTATTATTGTAGGTTCATCTACGTATATACCACCGAGTTTGGTCCATCCAAGGCACCCCTGATGACTTTTGTTGAAGACACTCTTTAAGGCTCTAATCACTGAACGTTTTAGTGGACTTCCTTGGCAACAATTTTAATTTACGATGCTGCTGTATATTTTTATTCAAGTTACATGTAAATAATATTCGTTAATAACTTGAAACGTTAAGAAAATCGTCGACACACTTTACTTGAAACAGAAGCGTAATAACATTGATTGTACGGGTCAATTGTAATACTTGAAATTATAGCTATAAAAGGCATTTAGTATGTGAGAAGAATATCTACATTAAAAAGAGGACAGGGCGATAACTGTTGGTTAGACATTCTAATTATCTTTACTGTCATCATTTGAGACCGGGTTTTGGTATTTTATTTCTCAGCGCCAACGTTTCTTGTCCATGTTAGTTAGGATTTCTAATTTACAAATACTACGTAATGTATTTATCTTTTAGGTATAATATACTGATGTTAATTTATACATGGCAGAATATGCTCTTTGATTTGGGTTTCAATTGTGAGACTCTATGGACGGACGAATTCAAAGACCTCAACATTTTAAATTATGAAAACCTTTGAAGATTGTGCTACAACCTATCTCAACCTACCAAGAACAGCTTCCACTCGCGGTTTCCTAGTATACTTTCCTGTCACATCAATTTGAATTCCCTTCTTATGATGATAAAGTGGTAAAGACATATATATATACATATATAGAATTTAAAGCTACGTTTTCCAAGGCGCGGAAGGGGAGCGCAGAAACTGGAGAGCAGAGCCCACTCTTCTCTTAACTTCGGTAATTTGATTGTGCCGTTTTCCTAGAAGCGGAGCGGACCGCAACTAGACAAGGGACAAATCGCTTCTCCGCACTCCGCTCCCGCGTTCTGCATCCGCGCCTAGGGAATATCAACTTTCAACGAAAATGTTTATATATCTGATTTCCCAGACTTGACTAACCTCTGGAGTAGACGAAAGTGGCGATGAGCAGCACGTTGGCCAGTATAATGGCGACTGCCATGGTGAGGATGATAGCGGCCTGCGTGAGAGCCTCCAGTGTGAAGTAGTAGTCTTGATCACTGAGAATGATCATAGCAGTGCCTGGGGGTCGACCACCACCCCCGTCCCACCATCGCTACCGCCGCTGCCGCATCGGCCCTTCCGTCTGTAACAGGACCAAAGACATGAGAATGAGGATAGTAATGTCTGGAGGTTGATTACGACCCCCGTCCCACCATCGCTACCGCCGCTGCCGCATCGGCCCTTCCGTCTGTAACAGGACCAAAGACATGAGAATGAGGATAGTAATGTCTGGAGGTTGGCCACCACCCCCGTCCCACCATTGCTACCGCCGCTGCCGCATCGGCCCTTCCGTCTGTAACATTACCAAAGACATGAGAATGAGCATAGTAATGTCTGGAGGTTGATTACCACCCCCGTCCCACCATCGCTACCGCCGCTGCCGCATCGGCCCTTCCGTCTGTAACAGGACCAAAGACATGAGAATGAGCATAGTAATGTCTGGAGGTCGACCACCACCCCCGTCCCACCATCGCTACCGCCGCTGCCGCATCGGCCCTTCCGTCTGTAACAGGACCAAAGACATGAGAATGAGCATAGTAATGTCTGGAGGTTGATTACCACCCCTGTCCCACCATAGCTACTACCACTACTGCATCGGCCCTTCCGTCTGCAACATGAGGGACAATAACAGAAGGTGAAAAGAAAGGTGAAGAATGTAGTAGGGGTAAAAATGGTAAATAAGGACATGTGTCTAAGGTAGATTATGGTTGGTTGGAGAGATCAAGAAGGAGTGAAAGGGTAAGTAAAATCAAGGGTGGAGTAAAAGGGGGTGAATGTTAAGTGGGAGTATGAAGAAGAAAGAAAGGTATTACGAAGAGTTGTGGAGAAGGAAAAGAAAAGAAGACTAATATGGAAGATTTTTTTTTCCTAGGACGCTAGGCACGAGCCTGGAATTGTTTTTCACATTACCTCAGGCTAGACCTAGGGGTTGCGGCATTATCACTTAAAAATTATCCATTGGTGACTTGGCGGGATTCGAACTCGGGACCTCCACTACACTAGCTCGTTCCCCGATAGTGGAAGATTAGTAGTTAGGAGGATTAAGGAGGTGAGGTACAAAAGGAATCTGGGCAAAATAATAAGTGCATGTATAATAAAGGCACGTAAGAAAACCGCTGTGAAGATAGTTGGCAGGAAAGATTGAGGAAGTGGAAGAGGAAGGGAGTCTAAGGAAAAGCTATAGTATGAGGAAAGGTATAGTATACAGCAGAAGATGAGCTAAGGTGTAAGACAAGGCAGAGAGATAAAGGAGTCAGAAAAAATGAATAGAAGGTTCAGAAAGGTAGAAATAATGAAGATAGGTAGGTGGAAGAAGTAGAGTAAGGAAAAGAGAAGGCTAGGGTGGACGATACAACATAGATAATATTGAAGAGGTGGAATAAAAAAATGAGCAAAAGGTAAAAATCTATAAATTAATGAGGGTATGAAGACAACAAGGGAAAAATTCTGAGAAAGAAATTGGTGCTAGAGATGCACAGAAAATACGAGAAGATGACTTCGGAAAAAGAGAAAACAGGTGATAGTCAAAGGTGAATAAACATTAATATGTTTAGGGCTTAAATGTATATACGGTACATTAAATACAAGATTAAGTTAAACAAGTGAGAACATGGTCATACGAACACCAACGTTAAAAATATGAATATAGGAGAAAATTGAAGAAATTTTGTTGACATAGATAATAAGATGATGGTGTGCCTATTATCAAAAGTATGTCATTTAAATTCATGCTATTCTAGTATTTACATTGTGCATATTCTTCGTGTATCTTCTTGTACTATAATCAATAGTTTTTTACTTGATTTTAAAATTAAATTTCAAACATGACACGAAAATTTAATTATAATTCGATTGCATAAAATATGAAGGGCAAAATATTTATTGGTGTAAGAAAATTAATAATAAATAGGCCTTCAGGTCTTTATTTCATAAAGTACACACACAAGCATTGGTCCGAATTTGCGTTATTCCGGTTTACATGGACTAATTTCATATTCATGATATAAAATGAGAAAAATAAGAAGGAACGAGGTGATTTTAGGATGGCCCCAATTTGTGGTGTACGGAGGGGATTTGAATAAAAGATGGGGAGAGTCAGGACGACGTATAACCCGCTTATCCACCCTACCTGCGGTCCTGGGCTAATTGTGGCCAAAATAACCTCCCTTTCACAATGAAACCATGATATAATACTTGAAGTGGACACAACTACAGTTCTTTAAGCATCCAAAGTCTACCAATATGTAAATGTGCTTGTTCACACTACCTATGATATTTAAAAATATAGGCCTAGATCTATACTTTCTTCAAGATACATTTTACTTATAAGGTACTGTTCATATTTTTAAGGTTGTGAAATTTATCTTTTGGTGTAGTATATATAACCTAATTGAACTCTAATCGAATGTATTGCAACCCACGTTATACATTTTAAATACCCCTGCCGCAGCAAACCTGTAGACTAAGCGAATTATCATTGCCTATTTGCATTTTCTCTCAAATATTTCCCTAAAGGTGTTAGATTTATACCCTATTTAAATAATAAAGTATTATATGTACTAAGGTTTGCTGCAACAGGAAATATAAGAAAAGTGTGTTCTTAGAAGATTTTCTATAAATTAGTAGATATGAAATTAAAAAATATCAGTGTAAACATAATTCAACGTCCATAGTAGCAGAAATAATGAGAGGATAATTCAAAAATACATTGCTTAGCTAATTACAACGATACTGTACTAACGTTATTCCTTAGATAAAAAGGTAACCTTGATTCATCATTGTATATAAATTGCAAATAATGCAAAATTTAAAGTATAAACTTTATTATAACGAACAAGATTTAAATTCAAAATAAAGACTTGAAATCGTCACCTTGATTCATCATAATAAATAAAACAAATACAAAATATTAAGTCTAAACTTTATCAAAATGAACAAGATTTAAACTCAACATAAAGACTTGAAATCCTCAAAACAAATCTACCTATTTTCTTTTGAATAAGTAGAAGAGCGCATCCAGCTTCTTCAAAGCGAAGAAGGGAAAATAGCGAGAAATATCTTGTTCTATTCTCACTCTAATACATCACACTCCGCTTCCCCAGGTCTAAGACACACTTTATGCATACTCAAGTCTCCAGTGTGTACCCATTGTATTTCTTGCGAATCAAACCCTAATAATTGAATTTATTTTATGTCTTGTTACAAATTTTTTATGTTGCTGCACTGATACATATTTTTATATGGTTGAAATACCAATATTGCTTGTTTATATTGTACAATGTTGGATATTTTAGTTGAATTATTTGTAAACCTATCAGATCATTTTAAAAAGTTCAAAAGTAGATGAATGCAATAATTTAATTGTTTTTTTAATTAACTATTCTTATTAGGATCTCTAATTTATTCGTATGTTAGAACCTTGGTTATAAATAAGGAAAATAAATATAAACAACCTATTAACATGCAAAAGGGTCTGTACTAATTGGTCAAAGGAATAATTGGATAAATCTTAACTTCATATGTATTGGCTTTTTCAGGAATAATTACTAACAAAATATGTAAATTAATTAAACGAAATGCACTTTAAATTCCATATTTCGCATTGTTAAACATTATATTTAATTACTTTTTCAAATTATCTATGGCTAAGCAGCAAATGTTTGGAGATCGGGGTACATGAAGTAAATAAATTAACATCAGCTATAAGGAATGAAATATATGTCGACAAGCGGTTTACATAAATTATTTATGAATTCGAATAAAATAGATACAAAAACCTAATAAATAAATACAGTATGAAAGGCTTTGCACGAAGTTTATTGATCTATTTCAAGGCTTAGAGTCAACCCATTTTTTAAAGTAACCACAAATTCTTTTAAATTTTAAATTACTCCTACTGCCTGAGTGATGAGTTTATAAATGACCACAACATAACAAAACAGTTATCCAAAAAGGCCAAATAATGAGTTTCATATTCAAGTGGAGTGGGATTTTTTCTGCATCAGATAAAATAGAACATTATAAACGATTGTTCACACGGCGAAACATATCTATCTATCTATCTATATATTAATAGGCAAGCATGTTTCTTTAAAACCTTATTTCTCAGCTTCTGTTTATTGCAGGGAAAATCTAAGCATACCGTTAGAAAGACATTTACCTGCAGAAGTGCAGAATTCCTTTAAAAATTAAAATAGGCTCAAATATAAGCACAAAAAATGGATTTGAAATTTTACAAAATTAAAATGGGCTTTATGGGTTGCCATGATGGTGACGAAATAACAACAAAATATAAACAGAAAATCAAAACAAATGGAAGAAATTACAATCACATGTTTTATTTACAGCGTGGGGGTGAAAATATAAAAGCATGACTGTACCTTTGACTTATAACTAGAAATTCCATCCCCATGTTTAAGTTGTCACCAATCATTTAATTAAATTTGTCGTAGTTGATGTGAGTCACCAACAGATTGTGCTGATCTAAATTACTAATTTCAGTCGAATACACGATGTTTTTTATCAAATCAAACTTATTGAATTACCTATTATGAGCTATGGCAACTGGTGTTACCCATCAACTCTGTCTGCGACATAAAATAAGGCAGAAAATAGAATTTTACACAAGCATGCTATGACTAGCTCACACAACTACATGTTTTTAATATAAAAATGAAGACAGCTGGTCCATATAGATGGGATGTCTACTTCAGTATCCAATAGTCAATGAATGTTGCCTGCATTACAAATTTTTGGTATAATTTTCGACCACTGGACGACCACTAGTACATATAAATATGATTAGTATATATTATATAATATGATATAAATATATTAGTCTGAAAGGGGACCGGGGAATGGCAGATATCGGTGACAAAATCTGCATTTTACATTACTAGCTGCAGAGTTGAAGATACAAGACCAAGTAGGCCAATGTACTTGTGTTTGTGAGTACTACATAACTCAGTCCTCCAAAGCTCTCCACCTACCAACTGTGTTGGTAATATAGGGTAGGTTTGGTACCAAACATTAAATTCAGATTATATACCCACAATTGAGTACTTTTGTAGAACCAATTTACAT